AGAGAGAGAGAGAGAGAGAGAGAGAGAGAGAGAGAGAGAAAAAATGACAATCTGCTTCGCACAGATGTTGCAGAGACGCGAACGAGATGATTATCTGGTCGGACTGGGTGACCCTGTCATCCATCCCAGAGAGAACTAGCGCCTAGAACTCAGCTTGACCACGTCACCCAAAGCATCCACGCGGAATACCAAACAAACCCGCCGAATTGTTGCACGAGAGATGCGCCATCGTCACAGCGAAATACACCAAATCCTTCAGTGCACGCTCTTGCGGGTAAGTACGACGCCGCCGAAGAGGAGGGGCTGCTCATGGTCCACTGCGCCTGGTGCGAATAGCATGCTCATTTCTCGTCGCTGCCGTGCCGACATAGAGCGGTCCGCTCCGATAAGCTGCTTCCAAGTAAGTGGGCTCACGTGAAATTGAGCAATGACAGAATCTCAAAAACCCGCGCTACGCGCATTGCCCTGGGCGCCCATGTTCGACACGCCAGCGTACTTATCATCCCCGCCATGCGAAGCTTCACAGTTGCAACGTCGCCGACAAAGTCTACGCGCCAACGGGCGTCTTGGTCGGTGAACAGGTTCATGCTGCACACATGGAAATACAAACTCGTGCCTACCTGAGCGGCGAGCTTCCTCGTGCAATTGGGGTCACCGCTGCCGTCCCGCATCGGCTTCTTCGTGATCACTAAAGCTCTGACGGCGTTCTGGATTATGTGCAGAACTACCTCTGGCGGCGCACACTCCGCCATGTATGCTGGGCGACGGCAGTGCGGCGACGATCGGAACTTGCCACAAAAAGGAGGCATGATCACCGACTCCTCGCCCTTCTCGCTCCAAAGTACCCCTTCTGCAAGCCAAAATATCAGGGCGTACCGGCACCTCCCCATGCCGACAGCAAGGAAACCAGGACAAAGAGGCTTGTGCTCATGGGCGGAGCTGCGCTCACAGCCCAACTGCAATGCTACGAGCCAAAGTGGCAACAGCGACGACAACGCTGGGGCACTCCTGGGCGCTCCTTAGCCTTCGGCAATGGCCTCAACCACGCAGGTCAAAACCTGCGTGGCCGCACGACACGAACTCCGAGAAGGAAAAAGAGGAAGACGACGAAGAGCGGAACGAACGTCTCACACACACGGAAAGGCCGGACCGACTCCCACTAGCCCCAGAAGCCCGAGCTGCTCACGCCGCGAGACACCCGATCGACTCACCCCGTGGGAAACTTGAAAATTACCTGGAACTGCACCAAGGACAACCGTGTATAATACTATATCCTGACAGTTGGAACACCTGCAACGCCAGAGAACTAGACCCCAGGCCCCTGGACACCCGGAGGCGCGATAAGCCTCGATCCGCTAAATGGAACGAGACGGGATACGCCGACAGTCATGTTGAGAGCCTCGAGCTTGTGCATACCTGCAAGACCTCTCCGCGCGCTGTACTCCTGCACGACAACGAAGAGCGTTCTACCTAAATCGACTGTGTCCCGTCTTTCCAGAGGGCAAAGCGAACCACTTCAGCCCGCGCGTTCCGTAACGCTCCACGCGTCACCTGCGCGCGAGCGCGGCAGACGACACTTGGAACGACGACTCCCAGACCTCCACATGTGCCTACTCAACATCCGCAGGAAAACTGGCGCACCACTCGTACTCTCTTGGGAAGAGGCGCAAGACAACGTTGAACTTCTGTGCATGTCTTTCTGCGCGTTCTTGATGTGTGTCGGACCGCCTTTGATGTATGCGTGCTTCTGTATTGAATACATGCGTGTATAGGTGTGAAGGGGAATCCATGATGTGATGTCGCAGTGACGATGGATCCTGCGGATCAAATCTCGAAAGTGGCGCGTCTCCGAGACATCTCGCGCTGACCGCCGTGCCTGCATGTCACCGAGCGCTAACAGCCACGACGACCTGCTGACACGAACGCGGGGCGAATAGAGAATAATATTACTCACATCAGATGCAAAAATGGAGATATCGTAGAAATGCTTGGCTACGTGCGGCATTTGCGCACACAAGCCACCTCGTGCCAAAAAACACAGCAGGCGCGTGCGTTACGGGTAGGCGGAGCGAAGCTCACAGCCACACTCCAATACTAGAAGCCAGAGTGGCAACGACAACACCACTGGTCGGGAAAGATCGCTGCTTTCGACGACGGCCCGCCCTGAGAGGTACTACGACAACGTAATACTACGTGATACTACGTACCCTTATGTTAATACTCCCACTAACACTTTACTGCCTACTACTCCTCAACCTCACCACTATATCCACTACTTCTACTACCTACTACGACTACCACTAGACTACTACTACTACTACTAATACTACTCATAATAACTTTACTACGTACTAACTACTAATACTAATACACGACTACGACTGTTACTACTACTACTACGACTACGACTACTACTACTACTACTACTACTACTACTACAGCTAAAACAACTACTACTACTACTTGTAACTGTACTACTACTACTACTACTAACTACTACTACATACGACTACGACTACGACCCACGACTACGGCTACGCGGCCTCGACTACGACTACTACTACTACTACTACACTACACTACTACACTACTACTACTACACTACTACTACTACTACTACTACTACTACTACTACTACTACTACTACTACTACTACTACTACTACTACTACTACTACTACTACTACTACTACTACTACTACTACTACTACGACTACGACTCCTACGACGAAGGGCCCCAACGACTACTACGACGACTCCTACTGTTACTACTCCCACTACTACTTCTACTGCTACTACTCCTACTACTACCACTACTTCTACTACTACTACGACTACGACTACTACTACTACGACTACTACTACGACTACTACTACTACTACTACTACTACTACTACTACTACTACTACTACTACTAACTACTACTACTACTACTACTACTACTACTACTACTACTACTACTACTATTACTGCTACTACTACTACTTACAATAGCTACAAGAACTACTACTACTACTGCTATGCTACTGACTAACTTACTACTACTTAATAACTACTACGATACTACTACTACTACTACTACTACTACTACTACTACTACTACTACTACTACTACTACTACTACTACTACTTACTACTAACTACTACTACTACTACTACTACTACTACTACTACTACTACTACTACTACTACTACTACTACTACTACGACTCCTACGACGAAGGGCCCAAACGACTCGCACGCGGACGAGGTGCCCAAACGCCGCACACCACGAGAAGCACGACCGACTCGCACCAGGACGAAAGGCCCGAACGACTCACACCACGAGGAACCCGAACGACTCACACCAGGACGAGGGGCCCCGACGACTCACACCAGGACGAGACGCCCGAACGACTCACACCACGAGGAGCCCGAACGACTCACAACACGACCAACCCGAACGACTCACACCAGGAGGAAGGGCCCGAACGACTCACACAACGAGGATACCGAACGACTCACACCAGGAATAGGGTCCCGAAAGACTCACACAAAGACGACGGGGCCGAAGGACTCACACAACGAGGGCCCGCACCGCCGCCTTCGTCGTCGCCGTCGTCGTCGTCGACGTCGTCGTCGGAGGCGGGAAGAAGGAGGAACAGGGGGGGGTATGCGGCGCCAAGCGGACACACGCCTGAAAAACACAACTGTCGGCACGCTTCGCAAGAGTTGCTGTTGTGAGATGGGCTGGTGGGGATGCGCGAAGCGTAAAGAATTTCCAGTGTTACAGTTCTGCTTCTTGCTGGTTACTGTAACTAGTTGATTTCTTGCTGGTTACTGTAACTAGTTGATTGACCGCGCGAGGGGGGGGGAGGCCCAAACAGAATTTTTAGCCTCACCTGGGCGCGTTGTCTGAATTGCTGGGGGGGCTCGAAATCGACACCCCTCACGCAGATCCGCGGGGTCAGGGTCCAAAAACACATGGGATTTGCCACATTTCTGGAAGTCGGTGCCACCCCTCACGCAGATCCGCGGGGTCAGGGTCCAAAAACACATGGGATTTGCCACATTTCTGAAATTCGGTGCCACCCCTCACGCAGATCCGCGGGGTCACGATCCAAAAACACATGGGATTTGCCACATTTCTGAAATTCGGTGCCACCCCTCACGCAGATCCGCGGGGTCAGGGTCCAAAAACACATGGGATTTGCCACATTTCTAAAATTCGGTGCCACCCTTCACGCAGATCCGCTGGGTCACGGTCCAAAAACACATGGGATTTGCAACATTTCTTAAATTCGGTGCCACCCCCACGCAGATCCGCGGGGTCACGGTCCAAAAACACAGGGGATTTGCCACATTTCTGAAATTCGGTGCCACCCCTCACGCAGATCCGCGGGGTCACGGTCCAAAGACACATGGGATTTGCCACATTTCTGAAATTCGGTGCCACCCCTCACGCAGATCCGCGGGGTCAGGGTTCAAAAACACAGGGGATTTGCCACATTTCTGAAATTCGGTGCCACCCCTCACGCAGATCCGCGGGGTCAGGGTCCAAAAACACAGGGGATTTGCCACATGTCTGAAATTCGGCGCCACCCCTTACGCAGATCTGCGGGGTCAGGGTCCAAAAACACAGGGGATTTGCTACATTTCTGAAATTCGGTGCCACCCTTCACGCAGATCCGCGGGGTCAGGGTCCAAAAACACAGTGGATCTGCCACATTTCTGAAATTCGGTGCCACCCCTCACGCACATCCATCGCAAGGCGTGGTAACCCAAACTGCGAGTACTCCCTCGGCCCTTTAATCCCAAGGTGTGGTACCCAAGCTCGTAAACCATACACGTCTTACCAATCGCCCTGTGTGGTAACCCCTCTTGTGATCAGTTGGTTTTGCCGATTGCGAATCGGCCTCGCATGAAGTTCCGATACTGCTGCACGACAGCGCCAAAGCCTCATGACTTAGCTCTTCCATGGCCCATTCTCCGAGAGAGGGGGCCGGCGGTAGGGGGCGAAGCCATTACGGATATGGGAGGACGTTCGCCAAAGTCCTGTTAAATTCCTCCTGCTCCACGAATGTTTTGCGCCCTTCCGTGGCGTCGTCCTTCTATTTCTGCGGAATGCACGCCCAGTCGATCCAGACGTGGGTGATGTCCGGGCTCTCGCGCAGAATCGTATTCAGTTTCTTCAGCTTGGTGCAGTCCGGGTCAATGTGCCAATGCCTGACCCAGCGATGGCTGACTGCAGCCTTTGTCCTCGCCGCTCCAGACAGGACGTCTGCCTCGGTCATGAAGATGCGCACCAACTTGCCCTGATCCCTCAGGGTCTGGTGGCGGGGCATTGGCCTGTCCTCAGGCAGTGCCAGGAACTCCTCGCGGCTCATGAACCAGAAGTGGAAGCCCTGTGCTGCGTCTGTCTGCGCTGCCCATAAACGGGGCGGCGGGGCGGAGAGTCGCGATACGTCTTCGGTGGGGTAGTGTTACGCAGTTTGTTCTGCATGGCCAAGCGTTACCATGCATGCGTATGCTATACAAAGCAGCATAATTGTTTATCATCGCGCACGCATAGCATACCATAGCATGGAACATCATAGTACCGCATAGCGCTTCACCTCATAGCATAGCATAACAATGCATAGCACGTGATAGTCATAGTATCGGATCGTATACCACTTCATGCCATGCAACGCATTGCTGGCCACTAGCACAATATCTTAACAGTGCACCACGGTGGACCGTCGTTGGAAATTTGCATCGGCCTCCGCAGCCACATAGGGACCTGACTCCAATATTTTCATGACTGTTTGATGGCTTCGCTGCTTCGCCCTCCAACTATGCTACGCTGTGCAGATTCGGCCCATTGAGGCATCGCCCCCCCTCGCGCGAGGACAAGGGGAGGATAATGAGGAGGAGGAAACGGTAGAGAGGATGAGGAGGAGAAGGAGCAGAATAACGAGAAAGGGAAGAGGAGGAGGAGGAGGAGGTGGTGGAAATGAGGAGGGAGAGGAAAAGGATTGTGTTCCAATTGGGAAGATCTTCGCTGAAGAGCTTCGCGCTAAGGCTTAGTCGGGGGCGTGTGGGCCAATCCTGTGAGCTCTCTGCATTGTCTTGGAGGCCGTAT